TTGATTTTCAAAACTGTATAAAACCAGGTGTAAGCACATGTATGTATGTATATCCCCTTGTCCTCAAAAAATTCAGGGAAGACGATGAGGACAATGTTTTCCTCTTTCCAGGCCACAAAGTTCATCACCTAATCTCACCCCTTTCTCTACATTAACTCTTATCTGACCATGAAATTCAATCTAAATTCTCTTTACATGTCCTGTCATCTCCCTATATATGTCATTACAGGGATAGTCGTACCTTTTGATACAATATTAAAAAAATAAATACGCACGTGCACCGACCAGCGCTCAGGTCAGATGATGTCATCTTAACGCAGTCTGTTTGCTCTCAGAGAGCCACATGGCTGGCTGTCTCCATCTAGTGGTGGCATTTGGCAACTACAGATGTGCACTGGTCTTTAAAGGGAGAAGAAAACCACGTATTTAATCGCATGAGGGATATTCACTTGTATATTGTATACAAATTGTGAATACAGCAAATATCAAAGATTTCTTTCTATTGAGTAGCCAGAGAAATATGGTTTGAAATGCATTTCACCATTTGAAATGCACGACAATTGACATTCAAAGTGCTCCAATGGGTTTTCAGAAAAAGGTGTTTGCTGCAATTGCAGCGTACAAGCACAACAGCCTGTACACGACAGTTGATTTGTCCTCATCAGTGACGATGCATTTCGCGGTTCATTTCCTGTGGTAATGCATGACACAGCATTGATGAGTGTCTTCCTATGCATGATAAGTGTTTCTGTGAACTGAGGCCATCATTCAGTAATTAACGTCAACAGACAGGCTGCCGGTAAAAGTTGAACTCACCGTGCTAGTCTTTCAGTGTACCTCAGTGCTCAGAACCTCCATTCCCTCAACATAACATCTTCTCTTCTTCTTGGTGAATGCTTGACGTTCCCTTACCACCACGTTATTTTCATTATTTCGTTATTTATATTATTTATATTTATTTATCGACCCTTACTTTTGGTTGCTTTTGGTCTTTTTTTTTGTTTGTTTTTTTTTTTTGTGATGTGCATGCTGTCATCGGGTAGAACAGCGGAAGTGCTGTTGATCCCAGCGTGCTCGCTGATTCGCTGCATCGCGTTAACGCCAACAACGGACTCAGGCAGACAGAGCCTCTGTACGGATCTATGACCAACATCTACACCAGCATCAGCCACAGGGTAACAGCGCACTGCATTCGTTGTGTTTGTGTTGTGTTTTTTGGCACCTGCTATTTTTTCCTAATGCCGTGCCTGATCAGTTTGCATGAACCAGAACTGATCTGTAGATGTTTGTTACTTCACGACTCACTCATTGTCCTGGTGTTCTCAAACCATTGACTGTGAAGGCCAATGAAGAACTTTTAAAACATTTTACACTGTCTTTGGGATCCTGGTGTTGTGCAGTAAAATAGTATTTCCGGTAATACGTCTTAGCTTTAATGGTTCCAGTCATTTGAACACTAATTAGGTAATGCCTGTTTAGTAATACATGGCTGGGTTGTTATATATTATGTCACAGCAAATAAGGCTATTACAATGTGTGTTTATTTATGTGTAAATATGTACACATACATTACACTAATATATATTTATATATATATAATAATTTCCCTACCAGCAGTCTTTTCACAGCTAGTTTTATCTGGAAAATGCTGTTAGAAAATAATAAGTGCCCTCTCCCCTTTTATCTGATTTGTCTCACGCCCCCTCCCCAAACCCCCGTCCTCCCCTTTCTCTAAAACAGGAAGGGGAAGTACATGAGAGCAGACTGACCTCAAAAGCTGCAAATGCTGCGGCCTCCACCCCTTGCAACAGCAAGGATTTCAAGACCAGCACCAATAATCTAGTCTCTATCCTCAGCACACCAGGAGGTCCTGCAAATGCTACCCAGAATCCACCTGGAGCGGCAGCAGGTGGAGCTGGAGGTGGAGGTGGTAGTAGTAGTAGTAAAAGCACAGAGGAGATGAGAAAGCTGTTCATCGACAGGGCAAAAAAGATTGACACTGTGTCGAGGGCAGGATTCCCTCTGGCTTTTCTCTTCTTCAATATATTTTACTGGGTCCTTTACAAGATACTGCGGCATGAAGATTTTCATAAGCAGTAAAGGAGAGGAAGAGCTTAAAGTTTTTTAAGTCCAAGCCATCATGTCCATATGGGCTTCAGTGACAAACGGGGACAACTCAGACGGCCACATAGTTGCCCCAGACAGACAATGTGCATTGGGCGTCCATGAAATCAAAGGGACCTCCCATTGGTCCGTTGTGCTGAACTATTGGTCTCACATGTAAAACGTTGCCTGGGTCTCGCAGACGCACACACCTTTTTGGTTAATTTGATATGGATGCTTCCTTACCTTCACCTCTTTCTTCCTCTTATCCTTGATTTTATCCTAACATTTGGAAGCTATCGGGAAGTCCCAATGTTGTGAAACAGTCTTGTGTTTGGAAATTAAAAAAAAAAAAAAACCCAACTGTTAAATAAATAAATTTAAAAAACAAAACAACGGTTAGTCTTGTTGGTCTGTGGACTACATGTAAATTTAAAAAACAAAACAACGCTTAGTCTTGTTGGTCTGTGGACTACATGGACTCGTGGGCCGCGGACGACTGAAAATCAGGCGACTGCTAATTGTTTGTCAGATGTGTGGGACAGAAAATGATTTTCATTCTTTTCAATAAATGTCGAACGTCGGTGAATATTTTTCAGGGAGCCCTGGTAGATGTTGAGCTGCAGGGGGCATGTCCACAATCCAGCACGCTATGACAAGAGAAAATATTCAGACAGTTTATAGAAACAGTCGCCTTGAATTGAGACTCAGCCAAACTGAATAAAAGGTCAGTTCAGTATCTCGTGTCATCATTGCTGTGTTCTGCAATGAGACTGTGAGGGAGTCATGTCTATTTGATTTTTCATTTACAATGCTGAATGAAGATTGTTATCGAGATAACCTTTTATCTTATATCAAATCACAGTAGGTCAACATTTAAAGTTTTCTTTGTCAATGAAGTGGATTCAGTCTCATTGAAAGGCTCTGACCATGTCTGACGTCAGGGTTTACGTCAATTGTGAATTTTTTGGTGTCACATTCAGTCACAAGTTGTTGGAAATTGTTGGACCTTGATCAAAGTGACCGTTGGAGGAACAAGTAAATCAATTGATGCTCCAAAATCTAACAATGAATGGAGCCATTGTTTTTGCCCAACGGCAAATTATCTCTAAAACTGCTTTATTTTTGTTTGGATTGTTGTTGCAAAGATTTTTTTTTTTTTTTTTTGACAGTTTTATGTTTTCTTACATGGTGTTTTGCTTGTATTTGGTTAATATTATTCCAGAGGAATTAGTCTAACATATTAAAGGATCAAGTTTTGTAGGAGTTAAATTAAATTAAATTATCCAAAAAATCATTACAAAATCCCCTTTACATTTTAAAATTAGAAACAAAATGATTTGAATACAAATAGATGAATAGAAAATTATAGAACAGCCAAAAAATTTCAATCCATTACAAAATCCCCTTTTCATTTTAAAATTAGAAACAAAAAGATTTGAATAAAAATAGATGAATAGAAAATTATAGAACAATCTCTAAATGATTGATTGAAAAAAAAACTAAAAAATAGTTATACCAAAAATGGTTAAAGGATAGTTTACAGTTAACTAACAGTCGCACAAAAAAAAAATTAGAAAGCTAGCAGTAGGCTTAATTTTGAAAATTGTAGCCCGGAAATTGATAAAAGACAAACAACTTACACACAACATGTAAATGTCCGTCACAGATTCAGCCATCTCTGAAAAAAACGATCTGAAAAATGTGCCCCCTGTGGTTTATTATACTGCTGTCTCCCACCCACATGCACACTGACCTTATTAAAGGAGTCATTATAATAAAAAAAAGTCTGAAGTGAAATAATTTCAATATTCTCTGTGTTCATGATGTTAAAAGTAATACATGCAAGTCATATTTTTCAGAATAAATCACTGTGCATTTACTTCCATAATCATATTTTTGATGTTATAAAATTGCATTTCCTACCTCTATTGTTGCTCCTGGTATTCTTATCGTTGCTGTTTATTTTTTTTTTTACACACGTGTTTGTTTCACTGATGAAGGTAAAAGCCAAAAGTGATTTGTTGTTGTTGTTTTTTTCTAATCATGTAAGAAAAGGAGCATTCATCATGTAAAGAAATTACGGGTTTGATGTGGACCAATGGAGAGCACAGAATAAATATTACTACTAGGTCAGAGTATGGTACATTTTATTTTATTTTTTATTTATTTTTTTTTTTTTTTGGCCAATTTTTTTTTTTTTTTTTGGCAATGCTTGTTATAACAAGTAATTTTCTTCTTAAATCACCGTGCAGCTTTAATGTTGGCCTAGAAATGAAAAAGAGCTGTAATTCACTTTCTTGTTGTGAGTTATAAAGAACCTGAACTGTTCTTCACTATTGCTCAACTTTGGTTTCTTATTTGTTTCACAGTGACGCCTCTGCTAGAACCAGGTCCAGATCAGATGCGACGGCTGTAATTTTTCATGCAGCACCAGCCAAGGTATTGTTGCTTTATGACATTTGAGAAATAATGGGGTTTTTTTTTTGCTTTTTTTTGGTGGAGAAATTGTGTTCAGTGTCTCACAACCTTCTCACTAATGTGAAGTTCATGGGTCTCCAGGCCTCTGTAGGTCCACATGTATAGAGAAGACTATGTGTGTGTGTGTATATGAGGTGACCAGAGGCTGTCGATCTGCACATGTGTACGTCAGACTCCCCGCTGTTTCGGTCGTCAACAATTTCCTCAGTCATTACGAAGTCATTACGGAGCACAATGCAGTCCATCAATCTGCTCTGACAGTTCAGACAAACAGGGTTTGTTTGGAGAACGCACAGTTCTGTTGGTCATGTGACAGTGTGCAGTCGGCGCTCTTTAAAGACCATATCTAACGCACAGTTCTGTTGGTCATGTGACTGCAGTCGGCGCTCTTTAAAGACCATATATGTGTGTTTTAACAACTCACCGTTTCCTGAGGGGATGTTCGCTCGCTGGGTTAAACTCGGTGCCTTCCTTGATTGCACTGGTTTCTGCTCCAGTTATTTACACCTCCGTTTCCATCTTTGGATTTTAACTGTATTTCCATACTGTATTTCAAGATGTTTCTATTTCCCCTTCCTGCCTTAGGTCTACAAAAAAAAACGTAGTTTTCGTTTGGCTACACCTCCACAGAACAGGCAGCTGCAAGTGCTAATATTTTTTTTTTATCATACCAATAATAATGTCAATCCAAATAATAATAACAGCTCCAGTGAAAAAAAAGGAAAAGCAAATTCCATAATTTAACAAAAGAATAAAATGAATCTCTCAAGAAAAACAACTAGAATATACTTAATTGCATTTTATATCAAGGGATGTTTTTTATATAACGGCCAGTTTTTTTTTTGCCCATGTGTTCGGCCATTAGCTACTTCAGGGATACATTTTTATTTGAGTTGAACGTTAGCTTGTTTCCTTTTAGCGTACTCGTAATTGCGTGTGGGAATTGAGAAAGTGCACGTTTGACAGGCCTGGATTAAATTTCCTCACACTGGTTCTTACGTCATTTATTTTATCATGTTAAACCTAATTAAATCCGGAACAAACACACGCAGAGACTTTAATCTGTGCGGTTTTTATTTGATGTTGTAATGCAGTAAAAATGACAAAGATGAGAAAACAAATGTCTGCTCTTGCACATGACTGCAGTCTTTTACTACAAAGTCAGACTTTTGCAGTTGTTTTCACTTTGCTTCTGCAGATCTGCGCAGGCCAGGGTCTGTTGTGTGTCTTCATCCTGACACTGATGTGTTTTGTTAGCTTTGTTGTTTACCTGTATACAGTGAGAAACTCGTACCGCGGTCCAGACATGTCCTGAGGAGAGTCTTTGGACTAAGTTGAAAATAATGTGAACGCTGGAGCCAAAGCAGCTGAAACAAAGTCCTGGTCAACTCAGTTTTTGTTTTTTTTTTCATTGGACCGACAGAGTGACATGGACAAAATCAACTACTGATTGGGCATATTCATAGTGGCAGTGATGATGTCAAGTCTGCATAAGATCTCATTAGACGTTTTCCAGAACTGCAGCTGCTGAACAGATAACATTTGTTTAACCCCTTATTTCCCCATGTTCTCTCCTCAGGTCATTTCCAGCTTGGAATTTATTCGTCACGTGACTTTTTTGAGGCAACGTCGTGATTGGTTGGAAGGGAACAAGACATTGCACTGCAGGAGAGGAGAGCGTAACTCGCTTTGTTGACACACCTACCTAAACCAGGACAGGCTGTACAAGAAAAGTCTGCACCTGAAACTAATTAGAGGGAGATGGAGCCAATCCCACAGTCATCGGACAAGTCCAATTTAGTCTCCTTTTAACCTAATGCGGCATGGTTTTGGACTTTGAGAGAAGGCAGGCGTTCCTGGAGAAAAACTCTTGCACCCTGGAAGAACATGTACACACAGCGTGGACATTATTTACGTAAGGTAAGCATGCTAACCCATATCCAAGTGTACTAACAAACTTTTTGGCTCCGGGGCCACAATAGGTCCTAAAATTTGACATGGATGCAGGGTCATGAGCAGATAGATGGATCATTCATGTGCACTAAGATAAATGATAAATGTAAAAGCCATGCGTAAAGGCTAAAATGTTAAGATGCTTTTAGCCTTCTCTATGCCATCTATTGGGGGAAATGCGAAAATTGCAGGGAAAAGTCAAATGATAATGTAATAATATTTGGCGGCCCAGATTAAGAAGCCAAATGGGCCGCATTAGGACCCCGGGCCGTAGTGTGCTGTGCCTGATTTAAATCATTAGAAGACTCAAGACTTCTGACTTTAGTCCTTCTGTGCTGTAGCAGCTGGAGGAATTTCCAGCTTGACCAGTCTTTCAAAGCCACTCTGTTTTTATTTTACAGTGAATACAATCTTAAACAAACATAATCAGTTTCACACAGAATCTTAAAAAAAAAAAAAAACATACCACGCTAAGCCAATTGCAGAATCTCACATTTAGCTTCAGAAACATCTCAACTTCCCTCCTCCCTTCCTTCCCCTGTCCTCTTATCTTACTTCCTTCCTACATTCAGGAATAATCTCTAGAGCCCAGTCAGGGCCGTCACCCCCTTACCTAACACGAAGTATGAAGCAGTTGAGGAAGAGTAGGAGAAAGGCTAGAACTTACGGGTTGGAATCCGTGTCTTGTTAGCTCTTTGTTTGGATGTTCAGATCTCTCTCTCCTAGACTGGTGACAGGCGCATGTGACTGTGAGTTGGAAATCTCCTGCTGCTACATCCTGGACATAAACACTTTCAGCATCTCCTCTTTACTCTAAAGCACCGTAAAGAATCCCTCCTGAAGATTAGCTTTCCACATGGAAAGTCTGTGTGTGTGTGTAAATCACAGCCTGGTCATCCAGGAAAACCTTGTTATTTTAGTTTCCCACTGGTGAAAAGCCCATTTAAACAGCAGATTTAAACTGTGTCAATCACCTTATTTCCCATAAACGGAAATTGTATTCCAGTGGAATTCAGTTCCAGAACCTTTGACCCTGTGATAGAAGAGTTTTTTGTGGATTTAGTTAGAAAACACACATAGGACTTTAGTCAGTAGAGTTTTTTGTGGATTTAGTCAGAAAACACACATAGGACTTTAGTCAGTTGAATAAAATAACAAAAAAAAAAGAGACTCAGTCCTGCAGGTACTCTGGAGTGATGTTGGTATTTCTTTTATTTTTGAGTGAAGTCACGGTAGGAAGTACATTAATTGTGATGCATATTTCTACTTTCTTTTTTTTTTTTGGTCATTAATTCATTTTTTATACTTTTTTGAAATGATTTATTGTTGCAAACTGCTCTAAAAACATTTATTTATTTTCAAATAAAAGGTATTTTCTTTTTCACTGTTTAATATTTAAAAATGAAAAGAATGTTTTATAAATAGGTTGTTTTGGATTTGTTTAGTGTTTTTCAACCTTGGGGTCGAGACCCCACGTGGGCTCGCCTTGAATTCGAATTGGGTCACCTGAAATGTCTAATAATTCATTTTTTAAAATGACTGATAAAAAGATTTTTTTTTTTTCTACACCTGTGCTAGCTGCTACACTACGGAACCACAATTATAGTCTATATTTTCATATCTTCTAATTTTGGTACTCTGGACATATTTTCTAACCTCCTAATTGTGTTTTGCATTTGAGTGTCAGCACAAAACAGCTGTTGTTTGTTTCTCTTCAGTAAGAAAAAGAAAATCAACAAGCAGAGACCTGACGTCTGGTGTAAACTAGAGCTAAACAATGGTGTGTGTTTGCGTGTGTTGTGTAATCACAGTCGCGTCATTACGTTGACACAAGGTTGTGGTGAGTGAAGGAGAGCTTGAAAGCCTGCAAATGTCCAAGACCTTGTTATCCTACACAACACACGCCTTTAAGACTTTGACTCAGTCGAGAGTCAGATGTGTTTAGAAAAGTCAGATGAGTGTGAGTGCGTGTCTCTGGGTGTGCACGTGTGTGTGTGTGTGTGTGTGTGTGTGTGTGTTTGAGCTGTGATGAATGAGTAGTAGGTGTCGAGGAAGAGGGTGGAGACATGAGGGCAGGTATAACAAGCTCGATGAAGCCTGTAATTATTAAACCTCACAGTTTACTTAACCTTTGATTTCTTTCTGTCTCCGTCTCTCTCTCTCCCTCTCTCTCTCTCTCTCTCTCTCTCTCTCTCTCTTTCCCAGGCACATGCATGCAATGTTTGTGTAGACAGATAAGCTCTGAGAGAGAGCAAGAGAGAGAGAGAGAGAGAGAGGGAGGAGGGAGGGAAATAAGTCCATGTAAAAAGAGAGAAAACACAGTGAGGGGTGAGAAATCCTGTGTTTGTGTTTGAGAGAGCAGATTTGTGGACAAACTACAGAGAGAAGGAGACATTCACAAAATAAGAGAAAGAGTGACGACCGAAGGAAGAACAAGAAGACAGTACTGAAGGTCTGCTGCTGCTGCTGCTGCTGCTGCTGTTGCTGCTGCTGCTGGGATCATGGCTGTGAATGGGAAGGTGGCTCTGGTGACCGGGGGGGCCCAGGGCATCGGGAGAGCGGTGGTTCGGACCCTGCTGCAGAACTCAGCCAAGGTCAGTGAACCACCGGACGTTTGTGCACAGTCTCGGCTCCACAAGCGACCGTGTAGTGGTTTGACTCTCCCTTCTTCCTCCTTTGTTTTTAAAGTGTGCATCCCTTTTACAAGTTGACACAGTTTCATAGTGACAATGTGAAACATAAACCGGACCGACTTGACTGTCAGTCACACAACAGCTGCACGGCCTGTCGCTGTTGTGCGACTGCAGCTGCTGCGGTTTCGCTTTGGTGGAGGTGAGGAGACTCGCATTGTTCACTCCTGTTCGGTCTGTTACTGCATTTGACAGGTGTTCAAACCCCTAGATGCAGTAGATACTTGGACAGTTAAGCAGTACAAATACATGAGTCAAAAAGTTCCAAGATGTAATGTTTGAAAACAAAAAAAAAAACGTAACACCGCTCAACACGTGTAGAAGTGGGAGAGACGTGTCTCAGCGGGCTGTAGTTATTAAAATCAGTCGGTCTTTTAAATTGATAAAAATGTGTCTTAGAACATTTTGACTAACCCTGTACATGTAGCGGTAGGCAGTGGTTGGAAATAATTCAAAATCATTGAGTGTTAGTTGAAGAACTTGTCCAGAGAAGTCCATAAAGTCCTTCTACTAAGACACGCGTCAAACTCACGGCCCGTGGGCCAAATGTTGTTTGCCAGGTCATTTTTTGTGGCACTTTAATTGCCTTATAAAAACGTCCACGTTGCTGAGTTTCTTAACCTGGAGTTACGATATTTGTAACTTGAATAAATAGTAATCACATTTTTTTTTTTCCAAGTAGCCTCAGAAGCAATGGTACTTTTATACATCAATATCTCGTCCATGCCTGCAGTACTGATGCATGCACATCACATGTGCCACCTTTAAACCCTTCGCTGATATCAGTTGTTGTTGGGTTATCTATGACGCTCAGACGAGTAACTGTAAAGGCATTTCTGCATGTACTTCCTCTTTGCTAGACACACTGCAGAGATGCACATACGTCACACTAATTCACCAATGTTACATATATATATATATATATATATATATATTATATGTGTATATATATGTATATATATGTATATATAAAACTGCAACAACAGAACATTTTCTATTGTTAATCTTTAGGGAGTGTCAGACCTTTACGACAATAGACTTTATGGCAGCTGCTCGTGTTTTCCTTTTCTCATATGTTAAAGGTTCAGGTTGGCAGTGTCATATATAACCAAAGTGCTGCAGATGCTGCTGTTTTACTTTTGAGAACATAAACAAGAAGACAAACCTTTTTTATTATTGGAATTTTCACATCAAACAGAGTCACTACCTGCCACTGTTTATGTATACTAAGGACGAAGGCGTTTTATGTTGTGCAGTAAACTAGGGAGGACAAATGCCAGATGATGTCTCCACGTCATTAGAAGAAATTAGTAGGTGGGACAGACAGTGACGTGAGTCCATGTGGAAGGTGTGTGTGTGAGAGGCTAAGTCGTTTGGTTTTAAGATAAATTAAAGAAGAAAAAAAATTAAGATTGTTAATGAAAACCTCAAACCTGTTTCTCTACATATCCTTCATCTAGGTCTCTACTTTACTCATTTTCACAGGTTCTCATTTAAGTTTAGTGAAGGATTCGATGTTTGTTTTGTTTTTTTACAATTCTGTATCACGAAAGGTTACAGCGCTCGACACTTGACAACAGTAAGATGGTAAAACTCTTGACTTGACACATTTGAGTGATTAATATCCGTCTGTATTTGGAAAGTTTAGGCACCTAGGACACAAAGACAAAGCATATGTTGGATATATGATTAGATTAGATTAGGTTAGGTTAGATTGGATTAGATTAGAGCGCTGTCTTCATAATCACCTGCACCACAAACTTATTAAAAGCTAACCAGTCCGTTTGTTCTGCTATTAAGGGTTCTGTGTTTCTTATTTATGGAGACGAGAGAAGAAAGTCAGAAATGTTTGCTTCCTTCTCACACTGTGAGGTTCCAAATAAATTGAGACACAGCTCTCAGCCCCATCTATGTCATAATGTTTCGGTGTGTGTGTGTGTGTGTGTGTATGTGCGTGTGTTCCTTTTTTGCTACTGACCATAGTTGTCAAACCACAAACAAATGCGTCACTCATTGTTCTGCAGAATTCTGTCTTCACAAACACAAAGCATCTGAAATAATTTGACTAGATACATTTCCATTTTTCTATATTAATAAATATTATATATTTATACATATAAATACATAGACTCACATACATATATGCGGCAGTAGTGGCTTAATGGTTAAGGAAGCGGACTTGGTTCTGCCAAGTTGCCTCTGAGCATGGCACCGTCCCCACACACTGCTCCAGTGGGCAGCTTTAAGAGCCCGGTTAAAGCTGCCCACTGTTGACTTTGGTGATGGGTTAATACCAGAGGTCACATTTGGTTGTGTGCAGGGGTGTGCCGTGTCACAATGACAAATAATTCACTTTCACTATCTAAATACGCAAGCTATTTCTAAACCAACATTTAGCTATATAAAAAAATAAACCATTATTATTACTAGTTCTTAATTATGTTTGTGTATTTGGATTTGTTGGACACTAAATTCAGTTTTCTTCTTCTTTTAATCTCAATCCAACTGTTCTCAGGTGTCACTTGAGTTTTTTTTTTTATCAGTTTACAGTCTGGTTCTGTCACATTCCTCGGTGTTTTCTTTGTGCCCATAATTGACACTTCAAATACCTGAGAGTTTTCAACTCATTCTCATTCTTTTCTACTCTTTTCAGCATATTTAACCCCGCCCCCTGCCTGTTTGATCTAGATTAATTAACAATCACAGAACTTATAATCGAACAAATGCTACAGCCTTATCTTGTAAATGCATTGTGTGTTAAAAAAGGTTGAGTTATACAGGTGTGTTTGTTTATCACTGTGTTGTCAAACTCGGTTGGAAATTTAAAAAAACAAACAAAATGGAAATAAAAAGCTGGGAGACAGAAATAATTTTCACTTTGAATATATGACATGATAACCTAATGGAAAATAGTGTTTCAAAGAAGGCAATCTGTGTGTGTTTTTACTCCTTTAGGTGACTGTGGTCGACATGAACAAGGACAGCGGCGAGGGCAGTAAGACTGAGCTGGACAAAGAATTCGGCGAAGGAAACCTGGCCTTCATTCAGTGCGATGTTAGAGACGGAGCCGCGCTGAGAGGTGAGATTTAGATTCCGAAAAAATAGGTTTTCCGTGAGTGACGTCATCGTTGTCAGCACAGCGACGTCATCAGATGACTATTTGTGCGGCGCTGTTCTCACCGTGCTGCCTGCAGGTCTGTAAAAAAACATGGCTTCACGACACACACACACACGCAGCATCACACCAGGGACATCACGATGACTGACACACGCAGCTTTCAACACCAGCGTCTGGGGGGGGGTTCTTGGCGGCCGTCCAGACTGTAGCGTAACATAACAGTCACTGACGCCCCGTGGTGCACAGTGATGAACGACCTGACGAGTGTCAAGTGCGTGATTAGAGAAGGCTGGACGTGCACGCTGCCTGTTCAGACTCATGTCAGGTCTGCTCGTGATGAATGGAGGAAAGGAAACGAGACGATTGGGGGGGAAAAAAAAGGCAGTGCAGCAAGAACTATTTTTAGCAGGAATTAGTTTTGTTTTTGTTTTTTTTTTAACAGCTGCAGACGGAGGATCGGCAGGTTCACACAGCAAGCAAACAGACACAGGTGACAGCTTTGTATCCAAACCGCAGCTTCAGTATATACAGTAATACACCTGTGCTCTTACTGTAAATGGAAGTGCCTGAGGGGTTTTGTTTTCCATTTACACAGTAGGATCATTAATGAAAAGTGTAGTACATTGATGGGTACATTAGTAAATGTTTGATAGGACCAACTGGTAGGAACCTTGAACATTGCCAGGAATTGTGTACGTACACTATAGCAGCGGTCACCAACCTTTTTTGTACCATGGACTGTTCACCCAGTATGAGTCATTACTGCAGTTATAATGTGCCATAGTAAAACTGAAGTACATTTTTTTCCACTGTGTCCCACTGGGGCCCGGTGCCCATTGACCTACGGACTGGCGCTGGCCCCCGGACCGGAGCTTTGGGATTTTTTTGCAAGAACAAAATAAGATCGAACACAACCATGAACTCAGCACTTTCTTTGCAGCAATAAGAAATAGAAGGAAGGAATCTAACTATATTTACATTGCGGGAACAAGTATGAAAACCTATAGAGCAAAGGGGGAATTTAGGAACTGGAACTTTTTTTGATTAGAAGTTAGTTAGTTCATCTCAGTTGAAGAATTTGCAATTTTTCACTTCATTGATTCTCCTTTACTTTAAAGTCACGTTGACAAGTTCTATACCTGAGGTTCACCAGCCATGAAACGGGTAGAGTTGGGACACAAAGACTGATTTGTAGTGTGAGTGAGAGTGAGATACAGAGTAACAAGGTTTCATCGTGTGACAGACAGGTTTAGGTGCCTGCAGGCTAATGGCTGTGGAATGTAGTTTGCTGCTGCTGCTGCTGCTGCTGCTACCTCAGAAATACTGAGTAAGCAGCTCAGCAAACACTGCTGTTTGGACGCTGTAAGTGTCTATGTGTGTGTGCTAAGACACAAGCGTGTGTGCAGAGTTGTTTGTTTGTTTGTAATTGTTGGTTTTCCAGGGGTGGAATGCAACACTTGATGACACATGCAGGTTCTGCCACCTCAGGTTTCACTGCGCAGTCACTTCTTCGTAGTTGCGTCGCCGTCTTTGGCCTAAATGTAATTTAGAGATTCCAAAGATTCAACCATGCGATTCCATTCTCGGCGAACATGATGCTCTACCCCGGAGTCTCGCTTCCCAACTGTCTCATCTGTCTGTTAACAACACGTCTGTAGTGAATGTAGCCAGTGTAAATAGGGAATCAAGACAAGTGATACACTCAACGGCACCTGGCCTCACTGTTTAGAAGGCAGGGGGAAGAAAACACACACACACATATATACACACACACATACAAACACAAGTTCCATAAAGTGTTTTGGGGAGTTCACTTCTTGTACAGGAGTCATATTCTTTGATTTATACAACTGTCTTTGTCCCACGATTGGTGAAGAATTTATGAGCGTCGTCAACAAAGATGCACAATGACAGCCCAGAGTGGGTCATGAGCCTTTAACACAGTGCTTACCGAAGCAGGGTTAGTTCATCCAAAGCCAATAAATGTCACTTTGAATCATTTTATTATTGTGCCACAGTGGGGAAATTACAGCATCTTGTCATTTTATTGCCCTATGTTCAGCAAAAAGAAAACAAAATAGCTAAACTAAAAAGTTAAACGAGTTGTGAAGCAACAGCTGTGAATGTGTGTGTGGGGCAGCAACAACAGCACCATCTACTGTACGAAACGTGTGCCATTGGAGTAGTTCAGGAACTGCAGCTTTATGACCTACTCAGATGAACTTAGCTAGAGATGTTACTTGGACTTTTTTATGGTGTACTTTTTTGTCATTCATTAATACCACTGTTGTGTCCCACATTTTAATAATAAATATAACAATAAATAAAAAGGTGAAATAAATAGAAATTTTTTTTTACAGAAATGTACACTTAAGCACAATTTATTTGAATTTTTATAAATTCTGACAAATCAAAATTTGCACAATTGCAAGAAGAAAGTGTGTGTGTTTGTGTGTGTAAACCTACACTATATAACTACCATTTGTAAGGGCATCACTTTTTTTTTTGTTCTTCAGATGCCTTTCAGAAAACTGTGGACAAGTTTGGTCACCTGGACATCGTGATCAACAACGCCGGCATCAACAATGAAAAGAACTGGGAGAAGATGATAGAGGTCAACCTGGTAAGCAGACATGTCTCATTTAACAATCCGTTTTTCAGTACCAGTCGTTTAGAGTAGCACGTATGTCAAACTCAAGGCCCGTGGGCCAAATGTGGCCGTCAGGTGCTTAAAAAGTGTTTTTACGTATTTTCCGGACTATAAGTCGCACAATTGTTCATCCTGTGGCTGGGTTTGAGTCACTCAAGTGCGACTGATATATTAAAATATATAGTTTCACAATTGTTGTTTTCACACTGACAGCTGCTAGAGGGAACTTTAGGCTGGTGTACCAGTATTTGCAACTCCTGTAAGTTGCACTTTTTTTTCATCTTTTGGCTCATGCGACTTGCATGCAACTTATAGTCCAGAAAATATGGTAATTGAGTTTCTTAACCAGATTTTTTTTTATTATAATTATTATTATACAAGTTTCTTGATTTTTTTTATTATAATTATTATTATACAGAACAATGTACAATATTTCTAACTATATTAAAAAAATAATAAAAAATAAAGTTGCAAAAAAATGTATTAATACACAATCCATCTATACAGGCTTACTGTTATAACCTGCCTTTCAAGGAGAACCGAATTGATGATATGGCCCCCTGGTGTAGAGTACCAAGATTCATAGGGTTTTTATTATTGATAGATTCAGCTGCACTTCCAGTACCAGCATTTAATGTTTTTTTTTTTTTATTGCTTATTCCTAAAATGATCTTTCTCTGTATGTAAACACCTTCTTACCAGGGCACGGTGGCACACCTAGTGTGACTCTGTGATATCTGATTGCAATTTCTTTTGCCAACTAAGCTGCGTATTTGATTGTGTTGTTTCTCAAAGGATCCTGGTCAAATTACCCACACACTTCTACACCAAAGTCCATACAAAAAATTCCCAATTTTACCTCAAAGCACACCTCACAGTTTATCCAAAGCTCCCTTCCTTACGTGGTTAAAATGCATTTGTTAATGCGTTATTTTACATGCTATTTATTGCATTCCCAAAAAATTAATATGATTACGTTTTCACCTAGGACTTTTGTCCTATGTCTTTAGTTTTTACCGCAACCTTACTCCTATGTAGGTTCACAAATGAAACAGATCTATTTCTCTTAAATACTCCAGGAAGCCTTAATCGACACGCAGTTAAAGCGTGATAAATTATCTCTGCTGTAGCAAGTTGGAACAGAAATGTCTTTATTTTTAGCTCACTGCTGGCGGCAGATGTTTTCATTTCATCTGAAACCAGGCTTTCGACTTTGTTTGACTTTGATCAGTTTTAATGCGAGGAAATTCCTTCTTCTCCATTTCCTTCAGGGCTGGATCTTAACTTTCACCTGTTTGCCTATCCAACTACATCTGTGGTGTTGGTCCTTTTTCCTTTGTGTGCAATCAGGGCAAGGGTCAGGTGTGGGTCAGAGTTCCGATTCTACCAAAACTATCACAACATTGTTGATAAAAACTGGACTGATTTTGATGGTCGATTATCAAAATGTCAAACATACGGCTCGCGGGCCAAAACCGACCCGCCAGGGTGTTCAAATTTGAAAATAAACAAATACTGTTTAGGACATTTTATGTAAAATTATATTTCATTAGATATAAGTATATAATAATAATAAATCATTTCTAATGTGCTTATATTTCTTGCACGAAAACAAAGGGGGAAAACATGGACTTATTATTGTTATTTCTAGTTAATTGTGTTTAATTTGGTTGTATTTGGCTCCTGAACCAAAATGAGTTTGACACCCAGGGATTACACTATTACTTCTATTTCCCTTTGATGGGAATATTTTTTTTTACTGCACTGATACTATGTTTGATTTTTGCAATATCTATGATATAGGCTTTAAGGGAACGTTTTTGTTTTTTTTTCATAGTAATTCCAAAAATTGTTGCTTTAAGTATTCAACATCTCTGTAATTAATGAACTCTGGTTATTTTATATACACAGTATGTGGCTGTTATAATAGTGACTCACTATTATTTTAGTATCTTATTCCAGGATTTGTATATACCGTCAATGTGACCTTACGTGACTGTCTGTCGCTCCATTGCCCACTAAGGTCCAAAACTGTATCCTGTCAAACACAATAATCAAATGTGAAGGCTGCGGTTCGGAATAAAAAACAACACAACATTGAACGACAGGACCGTGTGCGTGTGCATTAAGCATATTTGCAAAAACATGCAAAATCCTGTAAAGCCTCACCGAGATGGAATGAATAGATTTGAAAGGCAAAAGAAAAGAGGAGCCAGCACTATTTTTAGCACGGATTATGTACCTTTTTTTTTTTTAACAGCTGCAGACAGAGGCAGTGAAGGAGCGGCAGGTTCAGTCAAGTCAATCAAACTAATGAGAACTATTGTCCTCAAAGTTGCCAGAAAAAAAGTCCCAAGAGAGCTAGCGAGTCAATTTAAACATTTGGTATAATAATCCATCCATCCATTTTCATCCGC